AAGGAATAGATAACAAGGAACCTAAATCAGCATTCCAAAGCACAGAATGCATTACACTGCATGGAAACCACTATCAGCTGATATAATTACTCATAGATTCACAGCCCTAGATTCATTACCTGTGGCCTCTGCTTGTGCTGTGTCTGGTTTTGGTTTTGAGGTTGTTCCCAGTTTCCCCGGGCTCGGTTAGTGCCCACCGACGTCATCATTTACAGTATATACAAATAACAGTATTTACAAAGAATACTAAAGAAGAAAAAAGAGATCGTTAGACATAGATAAAATGTTTTCAATTCTATTTTATCAATACTTTCCACCAATCACTTTTTTTACTCTCAAAGGAACAAAGGAAATCCACTTTTTTTTTTTAAACCATTCATTTCTTCCTGTTAGTGCTGGAATCAAACATGGACCTTCATATGTGATAGGCAAGCTCTCAAGCACTGAACTACATTTTCAACTCAAGAGTAATCTTTTAAGATTTATTTTGGGTTTTAGTGTGAGCTGACCTCAAACACACTGCAGCAAAGCGGAATTTGAAAACAATCATCTTTCTCTACTTCCCAAATGCTGTGACTACAGGTGTGTATCACTGAAACATTTTTTGTTGTAGTGTGATAAATATGGCTGTTAATCCATTTTCGTTCATAAGCCTCAGTGATAAAACATACGCTTTGCATAAAGGTCCTAGGCTAGGTCATCAAACCCTACATCAAAAAATGTATAAAAGCAAATGTGATGAATTTTTGTTTGTTTGAAGACAGTCTCTCGATGTAGCCTTGGCAGGCCTCAAACTCTTGGCAATTCTCCTGCCTCTGCCTCCCAAGTGCTGGCCTATGTGACATTTTTTTCCCTAATATGTTAGGAACATAATCTGATTACTGTTATCACAAAAATAAGCAAAATCATTATCAATACTAAAAACACTTTCTAAACAGTATCTGGTGTCTGACAAAAAGAAAGCCAATTAACAAACGCTGGAAAATAAATGCCTTCCAGGAGTTGGGCACAGAACATACCTGTAATCCCAGCACTTGGAAAGCTGACCAGAGAGAATCGTAAATTTGAGGCCAGCCTGGGCAACACAGTAAGATCCTGTCACAAAAGATAGACAGAAATGAAAGAAGGAAAGAACAGAGAGAGAAAAAAGGGAGAGAGAGGAAGGGAAAAAAGGGAGGGAGGAGAGGGGAAAGCCTCCTTTAAGCCAAAAAAATTATAATTTAAAGTATTGGAAGAGTTGTAGGCATGGCTCAGGTAAGAACCTAGGTTCATAACTTTAACAGAGATAGAAGGAAAAAAACATATCCACTACACATTAGAAACAGTCATAACCTTACCTGCCCTACACTGTTTAACAAGTTGTCTGTGACTTCTACTACCTGGGAAAAGGCAAGAGTTCATAACTAGCCTTTTCTTTCCAGTTTTAGCTCTTCATGACTCTACTAGGACATGCATTAGCCCTAGTGATTACCCAGAATCCATTTCCTATACAGTTAATGGCAATACACTGCCTTTGCAGCTGTTACAGTCTCATACACACTTTCAAGTAAGCAGAATAGCAATTACTCTGCACCACTCACCTTAATACAAAAAGGGAATCCCAAATCTGGCCCCAATCAAATAAACCTATCATAAATTTTATTTCAAAGGGCTTCTAGGAAATGACTTTAAATTTGAAACTGTTTGCAAGATGACTTCACTCCTTAAAGAAACACAGAACACGGGAGCCTTCCCAAAACTAAAACATATTTTCTGTCCTTTCTACCAAATAACTGTTCTACTAAATTCAAGTTCTTTCTTCATATTGTGTTATAAAGTAATCTCAGCTGCTACTTTGAATAAACAAAAACATTCATCATCAAGATAGAGTGCTCAAAAGCAGGTTACTTTTCATGGTTTTATTCTTTTCCAAAGACAAGTCTATACTTTCCTTCTCTACATTTTTTTTCCACTAACGAACATTATATAGGGTAATTCTAGACTGCCCAGCAGACACTGGAGTTTGAGGTCAGGAGAGTTCTAAAGAAGCTAACTAGGGATATGAACTTCACCTGTTTCTGAGATAACACTGAAAAATCGGACATTCCTGTGTAGAAGTGCTTCAACAAGTGTCAATGGGTTGCACAGGTCTTTGTTTTTTGTTTTTGATGTGGTTATTAAGAACAAAGACTTTTCATCTCTTATCACCAATAAAAGGATTTTAAAAGACAAAGCACTAATTTTTAGCCAGTACCTATACACATGTACAAAGACCTGTAAATTGTATATTATTAGTTTACTTTCCCAAGCTAGCATTATAGTTATAGCAACACTTAATTTACAAAAGGACAAGTGTTGTTTAACGAAGTACTGGTGGATCCAAAGCAGCAATAGTTGGGGGCGGGGGGGGGGGGGACGAAAGGAAAACTATGTTTTAAAATTGACTGTAATCAATCTCAACCTACTCCTGTAGCTTAAAAATGCTGAATGGTTTCTACTCCATGTATATCAATGTTTAAGAATTAGGCCATAAATATAAGTTAAGACTGGTTGTGTACCTCATGGCACATCTTTCAAGTTAGATGTAAATATATTACAGTCATATTTAAAGATACATAATTAACCAGCAAAAAAAAAAATCCTTCCAATCATTCTTGCTTTTATCTTCCATTTCCTTCTTTGGAAATACTCTGAAATGTGTAACTAAAATTTTAACCCCTAATTAGTAACAGTGAGCAACAGGTCAAAAGTAAATAATCTGGGCAAACCACTCAAGGGCACAGAATTAGTGGTGTTTTAATAGCAAACAAAGACAAATACCCAGAGTTATACAGTGGGAATATGTGACCTTGTTTGTTAACTCTTACAAAACATAAGTACTTAAGGGAAATAGGATGAGAAAGGAACACTAGAGAAACAAGTATAGGTTTCAACAAAGAAATGCCCTTAACTACCTTTTGAGAGCCAGCTAATTAAAGGAATAGCCAGAGAAATTTTACTGAAAAAAATAAACAATAAGTATTTATTGAGTATCTACTGTGTGTCCAATACTTCAGGAAATACAAAAGCATTGTGACTTAGTTGCTGCTCTCAGGGAGCTTACAATCTACTGTAAGAAACAATTCAGACATTCTGAAGTTGGACTGGGATGGGTACGGCTTACCACAACTAACAGAGAAGCTAATTTCCCTAGATGCTTCACTGAAAAGTCCTGTGTCCCAATCCCAACCACCTTCACTCTGTTAGGAGCCTTTCCAGTCAGAAACACTTGGGAGGTGCAGTACATTTGAGCCTCCCATCACTATTTCACACAACAGTAGTGTTTCCCATTCACAACACAAACAGGCATTGGGAGAATCTAATAATTAAAGACAATGGTGTAGGACCCACAAAACAGTTTTATCAACAGATACACATCTAAATATTTTGATCTCTAGTAATGCTGGTTGTCAAAGTGACCCACATCCCCTCCCAGCAAGTCACAACAGACACCCCCTACACAGAATATGGGAGGTGGAGACAAAAAAGGATTTCTCCATTTAATAATCAGTGACTCAAAGGCAAAAAATCGTTAACAAGACCGCCTTTTAACTGTGGTGTTTTTCTTTCCACAACTACCTACACCAGAAATTGCTAAATTTTAAGAATAGTGGAAAGCAGTCTCTTGTTTGTGACATCACTTTGAAAAGCAATTTAGGGGCTGTCCACCAGGTGAAGGGTCTCAAGAAATTTGGAATTCCATTTCCATTATGAGAAAAATGATCAAATGCCCAGTGATCTAGTGACGTCCCTTAGACATAGCAACCCATGGGGGCCTCCATGTCCAGCTTCCCAAATAATATAATTGCTTGGATACCCAAAACTACAGTATAGACAACTGGAAGCCAAAGACAGCAACAAAAATATATTCCTCGACCCGGGTTGATAAGAAAGAAGGCAGGGTAATAAGAGGAGCCGACAAAGAGGCTGGAAACGAACAGAGGACAGAAGCCCACGCGCGGAGGATGGGAGACTCACCCCCCTCCGCGCCACATCAAGAGCCCATGGGGCCATTCGCCTCTCTACCTCCCACCCGGAACAAATTAATCCTCCGCACTCCAAGCTGAGGGCCACATGGGGGAGTGTGGGGCAGCTCCACCCCATCGCACCCCCCCACGGCCCCCAAACCAGGCCGGATCCGGACCAGAGGCCCACAGACGGCTAGGAAGGGAGGAGGCCTTCTCCATAGACACTGGTCCTAGTGGAGAACCCTACCTCAGGCTGGGCCCAGGCCTCGCTCGCCCGCGCTCTTTCTCGCTCTCCCCCTTCAGGCTCTAGCCGCATGCCCCCCCCCCCCGGCTGCCCCAAGCCCCGCCCCGGCCACGCTCCCAAATCGAGGCCCCGGCTTTGGCGCGGCCCAGTAGGCCGCGAACCCAACTATAAACAAAACCCCCGGCGGCCAACTCGAGGGGGGGGTTGGACGCCCGAGCTCGCAAGCCTAGAGGGGAAGGTGTACAGTGGGGAAACAACGCGTGGGGGGGCCTACCGCGGGAGGGGACTACAGACGGGACAGAGGAGAAGGAGGGAGGTTAAAAAGGGGATCGCGGATTTAAAGGGGCCGCGGACAATACCCGGCCCCGCCGCGTTGCCGCTGCCGCCGCCGCCGCCGCCAACGCCGCTGCGCTCCCAACTTTACCTCAGTCTCCTCCACACTGACACCCCGGGCCGCGCCGCCCCTGTCACGTGATATAAGATTCCCTCCACCCCACCCCCTCCCTCCTTTTCCCTCTCGCGCTCGCTCTCGCGCCTTCCCCCTCCCACTTGCCTTCCTGCGTCCCTCAGCACGTGACGTGAAAGGACCGCGCACGTCAGCGTGCGCGAGCCTCGCCGCCACGAAACACAGCGCCGGAGTTCCTCGCGTCCGCCCCGCCCTCGCCCTCGCCCGTACGGCTCAGCCTCCATCACGTGACTCCAAGACGGCCTCTGCTTCCTCTTACTGGCGTAGTTCCGCGTCTCCGCACTCCCAGATTCCTTTGCGGCCATGAGTCACGTGGCGGGGGTGGAGCGGGAAGGCTCTGTGCCTGACTAGCGCCCCCATCCACCATGTTTTCTGACCGACTCTAGTTTGTTTCTTCCCTAAAACCAAATGGAAATGGCCGGAGAGCTCCGGGGAACCTAGGTGCCCGGCTTCTGCCGAGCCTGGGCTGACGCGCAAGCGTGGCGGGAATATCCTAGCGGGCCTTCACGGAGAGGCGATGGCGTCTAGCAGTAACTGGCTGTCCGGAGTGAATGTCGTGCTTGTGATGGCATACGGGAGCCTGGTGAGGAGATCCCCCGCTCCATTCCTGCTGTAGCCTTTGCCCTAGTAGAGACCGTCCTTCTGGGCCCTTCCCTCAGCCCCTTAACTCGCCTTGTTTCTGGCCTTTCGGTTTGTATCCGTAGACAGCCGAGAACTTTAAATTCAAAGCTGCCCGCCCCTGAGATCCCTCCTTTAAGTTCTGGAGCCCAGGTATCTATCACGCCTCCTTGATACCAGCCTTAGACCCACCCCCATCCTTAATGACCAGGCTTTGCCCAAGTTTTAGCCCTGAAAGCCTAATATAAACATAGTTTTTTTTTTAACTTAATTATTATTATTAAAGATGGTTCTAATCTTTTGGGCAGGTATTTGTACTGCTGTTTATTTTTGTGAAGAGACAAATCATGCGCTTTGCAATGAAATCTAGAAGGGGACCTCACGTCCCTGTGGGACACAATGCCCCCAAGGTAGGTCCTTAGGCGCAAGGTAAACTTGATTCTTTGGCAGAAGGAGATAACTTTGTTCATATAGTTACTTAAATTTTCCCCTTCACAAACTAAGCAAGATTTGCCTGCGGACGAGGCTCATTTGCTCACTCTTGCCGCATAACATGTACTTTAAGATCTAAACGAACTCAACTATAAAATGTTTCTCCATCTTAAATTGCCAAGTGTTTGATGTTGCTTTATTTTAGCATGATATTGGGAATGATTACAGTTTACTCTATAGGTCTAAGAATGGTAGCCTTTCCAGAATTTGAAGATGCCGGTTGTGCTTGGTTAGAATGCTTAAGACTCTGGGTTTGGAGCTGGCCTGGGTGGTGTACGCCGTTAATCCCAACACTTTATTGGGGGGCAGAGGCAGGCAGATCGCTGTGAGTTAAGGCCAGCCTGGTCCACAGTCCAGGACAGCCAGGGCTGCACAGAAAAACCCTGGCTCAAAAACAAAACAAAAGACTCTGGGTTTGATCCCTGACACTACAAGAAGAGGAAAAAACATTAATTGTGCATAATCCCACCTTTCACGTCAAGCCTAAGGAAGAAGAAATTACCTAACAACTTTTAATTTTGTTATGGTTCTTTGTTCTATATTTTGAGACATATTAGGTTACATATTGTAACCTAAGATGGCTCTCTCACCATGTATCTTCAAAGCAGTCCTTCTGTCAGAACCATACAATGAGAAACCTGTTGGGGTTTATAACTGCCACCTGACATTAAAACCTAGGTTTCAAGGCTGGGCAGTGGTGGCACACATCTTTAATCTCAGCCCTCAGGAGGCAGACAGACAGACCGATCTCTGAGTTTAAAGGCCAGCCTGGTCTGTGAGTTCTAGGACAGCCAGGGCTGCACAAACCCTATCTTGAAAAAAAAAAAAAAAAAAAACCTTAGCTTTCAAGTAGCCATCTCAAACCTAATATAAATAATCAAAAGTCTTTTTGTGTTTATGTGTGTAGATACATATGTATGTGTGTTTGTAATGCAAGCCATGGGGTGGCATGTTCTGTCTTCCATAGTTGCTGTTCACCTTAATTTTGGAAGCAGGGTCTCCACTAAGCTTGGAATTTACCAATTTTGCTATACTGGCTGGCCTTCTGTCCCAATCTCCTTTGACGTCCTTTGTTGGTGGTTGGTACTTTTCAGATAGGATCTCCTGCTTCTTCATCTAGATAAACATTACGTTGAGCTGATCTTCCTGCTTATAGCTCCCAAGTACATAGGTTATAGGCATGCACTACAACTCCTGCTTTATAAAGTGCAGGAAATTGAATCTAGGCACTTGGTGCATGCTAGGCAAGCATTCTACCAACTGAGATAACATCCCCTGTTCTGAATCAGAATCCTTGATGTCCCATTGCCATCCCCAGTCATGCTTTTGCTTTTTCAGTCTTTCACCTTTAGACGTCAACTGACTTTACCAGTTTTCTTTTCTATGACTCCCCATTACCAACATAAACATGGCTCTACTGATTGAATTTCATAACTTTGCACCTACTGTCACTGACCAAAAATGGTCTTCATTTGGCTCCCTCATTCATTCCCTTTTGGTTGTTTCAGACTAGGCGTCTCCAGTAGCCCAAACTGTCCTAGAACTCACTACATAGCCAGCCTTGTTCTTGAAGTCCGTATGTCCCACCTCCGTGTCTTGAATGCTGGAATTACAGGCATGCATGGAAATACCCAGCTCCTTTAGATTAGATCTTAGTTTAAAAGTTTTTTCCTCAAGGGAGGAATGCACAGTACATATTTTTGTTTTGTTTTGTTTTTAACTTAGGACGTTATTTATAACAGTTAACCAAGATTCTTTTTAGTCTAATTTCAAATCAGAGATAATGCTAGTGTCAGCCTAAAGAAATTCTGGCAAGTTAAAAGATCTGGTTTAGGGACTGATAAAGATGGCTCAGTGATTGAGAGCTCTTGCTGACTAGTCAGGAGGACTAGAGTTCTGATCCATGATGAAACCAGGGATCCCATGTACCCTTGTAACCCCAGCTCTGAAGGTTGTAGAGACTAAAGGATTGCTGGGTCTTGCTGCCTTCTGGCCTCAGTGAGAAAACACAAGTCCATGGGTGGAAGAGTGAATGCTAGAGGAGGATACCCGATGCAGGTGTGCATAACCACGAAGGTGCACGTACAGCGTACACACATGCAAACACACAAGTAAGTCTTCAAAGAGAAAAGCCAGGTGATGTGACATGCTCCAATCCCAGTAACTCCAGAGGTAGAAGCCATGGTTCTCTCTGAGTTTGAGGCCAGCCTGGTCTACAGAGTTTCAGGGCAGCCAGAGATACATAGACCGTGTCTCAGAAATCAAAAGGGAGAGAGAGAGAGAGATGGCTTGGAGGTGTATATTAGAGAATACCAAACCCGTTTGTTATTTTTCTCTGTTTGATCTTCGTTTACATGCTCTGGCCCCTTTACAGTCCACTGGGAAGCAGAACACAAGATAATTACGGTATATTCTCTCTGAATGCACAGGACTTGAAAGAGGAGATCGACATTCGACTGTCCAGGGTTCAGGATATCAAGTATGAACCCCAGCTCCTTGCAGATGATGACACCAGACTACTACAGCTGGAAACCCAGGGGAATCAAAGTATGTGGCAAGCTCTTGGAGGATGTTTCACCAAGTCCCAATGTGGTGTCATTTTTAAGAATTCTAGAATTTTTTTTTTACACAAATATAAAAGTGTGCTTTCATTTTAATCCCTGGTGTCGGAGTGTGGGGCTACTTCGAACTGTCCACAGCAGCTGACCATGATTTGTCTTGTGCTCTAGCAGAAGCAGGGTTTTTGCCAGATGCAGATATTTTCTGTGATTGTTGTGACATTTGGAATTCTGGGAACTTTTCAGACAGTATATAAATGCTAGAGCCTCAAGCAGCATGGGTGAGTGGTTGGTCATTTAGGGAGGTTGTTTATAGTTTGTTAGTTGCCGTGGTCAAAGAAAAAAACAAAAGAAAAGAAATTAGATTCAGGGATCAGTTTCTCTCCTATCTAGTGTTAGGTATGAAATGTGGGGAAAAAGAAAAACCCACAAAGCAAGCAAAGACCAGCTACATCCCAGAGGTTTCCGCACCTGTACCAACCCTCCATAGTCCTCAGTTACTGTATATATGCCAGATAAAAGGACCCAGTTCACTAACTTCCTGTAATCTTAGGGTATTTTGAGAGTAATCACTGAAATTAGTCTTTTTCTTAACAGGTTGCTACAACTATCTATACAGGATGAAAGCTCTAGATGCCATCCGTGCCTCTGGTAAGTTACCTGATGAGGTACACCCTAGAATCTAAACCTAGGGAACTGAATGATGAGAAAGTTAGGATTTGTCCTTCTGCACATTATGGCTAGAAGGAATTTCCTAGAGTTTTGAGAGTACTATATTGAAAGAAACGCTTTGGGAATCCAGGTGAAGCAATGCACACCTTTAATCCCGCAACACAGGAGTCAGAGGCAGGCAGATTGTTGTGTTAAAGGTCAGCCTCATCTACATATGGCGTTCCAAGACAGCCAAGGCTAGCTACATAGAGAGATCCTGTCTCAAAACAGAGATAAATCACCTTGGTTTGCTTTCTTTCTTTCTAGTTTTTTGAGACAGGGTTTCTCTGGATAGCCTTGTCTGTCCTGTAACTCACTCTGTAGACCAGGCTGGCCTCACACTCAGAGATCATCCTGCCTCTACTTTTCCAGTGCTACCACTTCTTGGCAGTTATTTGTTCTCCCAAGAGTCTGAATTATTTTGATTTGGGTTTTTGATTAATTTTTTTTTCTTTAGAGACAAGGTCTCATACAGCCAAGAACAGTCTTGAGCTTCAAAGCCTCCTGCTTTTACCTCCCAAGTGCTAAATTGTGGCCATTGTGCTACAACACCCAGTTTATTTGGTGCTGTCAAAACCAGAGCTTCTGGTGTGCTAAATAAGCATGCAAACAACTGGACTACATAGCCGGCCCTGCTTATGGTGTCTTTCTTTTTAGTTCCTATTTTGGGGAACTTGTTTTATTTTTAAGACAGGGTCTTGATACTAACCCTGGCAGACCTTCAACTCACAGAGCTCCACCTGCCTTTGCCTCCAAGTACTGGGATTAAAGGCGTATACCACCACACTCTGTCCTTAATTACTATTTTTATGCTGTTGTGTATTGTGTGCCTACATGGGTTTATATGTACTATTTTGTGTGAAGGATGGCAAAAGAGACTATCAGATCTCCTGGTATTCCGGGTAGCTGTAACCTTAAACCCAGGTCTACTGCAAGTACTGGTAGCTGCTGACCTCTCTAACCCCAGTTTATATTTTTATTTTTTGGAGGGTGTGAGGCGGGGAGTTGTATTGTATTGGGATTGTAGGCTTTTTGTTTGTTTGTTTTTGTTTTGATGTTTTGAAAACAGGCTTTATTTGTGTAGCCTAGGCTGTCCTGGACTGGCTTAGTAGACCAGGCTGGCCTAGAACTCACAGAGATCCTCCTGCCTTTCTCTGCCTCACCAAGTGCTGGGATTACAGGCATGCGCCATTGAGCCTGGCATGTTTAGTTTTATTTTGTTTTTAACACAGATTCTTGCTTTGTAGCTCAAACAGGCCTTACTCAACATCCTCCTGCCTTAGCCTCCCAAATGTTGCGATTCTAAGTATGTGCCACTACACCAGCATTTGATTTTAAGTTCTTTTAGCCAGTTGGTGGAGGCGCACGACTTTAATCCAGCACTTAGAGGCAGAGGCAGGTGAGTCTCAGAATTTGAGTCTCAGAGTTTGAGCCTGCTCTACAGAGTCAAGGTCCAGGGCAGCCAGGGCTGTTGCTCAGATAAGATCTGTCTTGTGGGGGGAGGGGGGGAGTTTTCTTGAGACCTTCAGTTTCACAAGTTGGGTGATGATGACTGGTTTCCTACAAAACAGTATGGGAAATGTAGCATCTGCTTCTTCACTTGAACCCAAGAGTTACTGGATTTTTTTTTTTCATATTATGTGACTACTTACATGTTCTTAGGTTAATTGAAAGAGTGTCTATCTTATATCTTAAAGCCAAGATGGCCTAGGAGAACAGTACAACAGTAGAACACATGTGTTACTGACATAAAGCTTAGAGTTGTTTAGCCACCCAAATCACTATGTGGGCATAGCTGTTTATCTCTGCTTAATTCTACTAGAATCTGTTTTTATTGGTGTACGCTAACTTTACAGAATACAGGGGTTCTTGATGATAATTAGAGCTATTCTAAGTTTGGAAAATTACCTAGAAAATAAAACAGGTAAAAGAGTTATCATTGTGCTGTTTTCTTCTCAGAGATCCCATTTCATGCTGAAGGCCGGCACCCCTGTTCTTTAATGGGTAAGAATTTCCGCTCCTACTTGCTAGATCTGCGAAACATTAGCACTCCTTTTAAGGGTGTGCGCAAGGCCCTCATTGATACTCTCCTGGATGGGTATGAGACAGCCCGCTATGGGACAGGGGTAAGTTGGAAGGTCAGTTTTTCCTTCAAAGAACTAAAGGCATGGAATGCTCCACACAAAAAAGGCTGATTTTTCCTTTCTGTTTCCTAAGGTTTTTGGTCAGAACGAGTACTTGCGGTATCAGGAAGCCTTGAGTGAGCTGGCCACTATGTGAGTATGGTGGGGCATGTCAAAGAGGGCTAGTTAGACATAAAAGTACAGTAAGGAAAAAAATCACAAGTTCTAGGCTAGCAATGCCCTGTCTCTAAATAAATAAGCAAGCAAAGTAAGTATAAAAGAATATAGAAGTCCTATACTGGTCTTATAAAACTTGCAGATATTAGCTCTATAAGCTAGTAAGAGAAACTTCTACTTTGTATGCACATTTTAGTATTGGATTTGGTTTGTGTCTACCCCACAAAATGTCAAAATGGTCTGATTATGATGGTGCATGTCTTTAATCCCAACACTCAGTAAGCAGAGGCAGGCGAATCTCTGTAAGTTGGCTAGCAGACTGGTCTACAGAGCAAGTTCCTGGATGGCCAGTGCTGTAGAGAGGCACTCTGTCTCAAAAAGTAAAACAAAAGATCTGGAGAGATGGCTCAGGTGTTAAGAATGCTAGCTGCTCCTGCAGACAACTGGGGTTCAATCCCCCATCCACATGACATCTTACAACCGTATGTAACTCCAGTTCCAATGGGATCTGATGCCCTCTTCTGACCTCCACAGGAACCAGCCATGTATATAATACGCCGACACACATGCAATCAAAACACCCATACATTAAAAAAAATCTTTAAAAAAAAAAAAAAAAAAAGGTAAAATGTCAAAAAATGTTATAGCTAGCAAAGGAATGCAGTTTTTGAGCACATAAGGACTCCTGTTCTAGGGTCCTCTTCTTGTGCTTTGGTCCAATAAAAATAAGAATTAAATTCCACCCAATTTTTTTTTAAACCATGTAAAGCAATATAACCCTGTCTTTAAGGAAAGAACATCAGTAGATAGCTTTTGAGTATTTGTTTATAGAAGAATTTGACTGCTGAATGTTTTAAAATAGTTTCAGTATGCCACTTAGGCAAAGGTAAATGAACATGCATACTGAAAAAGGGAAGCCGATACAGAGTTAGTTACCAGGGCCTGAGGATATAATACAGGTGGTAGAATGCTTGCCAAACATGCATAGGCCAGGGAGTGTGTCACTAACTTCTGGATCTTAGGTTTCTGCAAATGTGCAGGCTACATAAACTTGCAGGTACATAGACACAAAGAAGAAATCTTGGAAGAAGTTAGGCAGAAAGCCTGATAAATTGCCTGATCCAGGTGGTGGTGGCACAAGCCTTTAATCCCAGCACTTGGGAGACAGTGGCAGGTGGATTTCTGTGAGTCCAAGGCCAGCCTGGTCTACACAGTGAATCCCAGGACAGCCAGGGCTGCCCAGAAAACCCTGTCTGGGAAACACATCTGCTGTATATCTCATTAGAGACTTTGTTGTTTGATTTAATTTTGGTTTCTTGAGATACGGTTTTGTTCCTAAAGTTCAAGGTAATTTTTTTAACCTTGGCCATTTTGAGTCTTTTTTTTTTTTTTTTTTTTTTTTTTTTAATTCTGGTATCTAGAAAAGTTTGATGGATAATAATGGAAGAGTATAGGCTTTAAAATCTGATAACTATATCTAGCTTTATGATGTCATAAAGGTTAATTATTGGACTTATGTTTCTTAACATGCAAAGCTGATACTATATAATACTGGAGATAATAGGGTGTTGGTAAGTGACTTCACAACTCACCAAGTGCTCTGTGTCTTCCAACGTGCTGTGCGCTCAGTAGTTTGATTTTATTTGTAATACTTCATTTCCCTCTCTTTGGACGGGGAATGTTACAGCATGCACATGTTAAGGCAGTCAGCAAAGCTAAGAGATTTCTGTAAGCAGAGCGCAATTAAAGCTGTAACCAGGTGTGAGGGCCCACTTCGTGTGAGACCGCCCTTGCCTCCATAGGAAGACCCTTTCTGTCCTTTCTCCCCCCACACACACACACCAAAAAAAGAAAGAATTATGCTAGAGATAAGTACTTAGTAAAATCTGGTTTCCCTGATAATCTCAGTTATCAAATGGCTTTAGTAATGAGTTCTTTGTTTGGGTTTTTGTTTTTTGGGAGGTGAGGAATTTTGTTTTGTGGTACATGGGGTTGGGTTAGACCAAACTGGCCATGAATGGGATGATCTTTCTGCCTTCTGAAATTACAGGTGTTTGCTACCTGCCTTGCTTAGTAACTTAAATAGATCAGAGACTATTTTAGCTGCACTTAATGGGTGGAGTAATTTCTGAATTGTATTCTGGGGTTTTTGTTTTTTTATTTTAAGATTCACTTTTCAGTCAGCTATGGTGGCACATGCCTGTAATCCCAGCTCTTGGGAGATAGGGGCAGGTGGATCTCTGAGTTCGAGCCCAGCAAGGCTACACAGAGAAACCGTGTCTAAAAAAAACAAAATAAAATAAAAGATTCACTTTTCACTTGTTTTACTTACATGTAAGTATTTGTAGAGGTTCTGGCCTGTAGCTAGACTCACAGAATTGACTGCCAGGAATTGAACTCTGGTCTTCTGGAGGAACAGTACATGCTCTTAGCCAGAGTCATGTCTCCAGCCCCTTTTTTGCCAGTTCTCATTCTAACTATGTCTGCTGTGTATTCTTCAGAGTCAAAGCACGAATTGGGAGCTCTCAGAGGCAACACCAGTCAGCAGCCAAAGACCTAACCCAGTCGCCTGAGATGTCACCAACAACCATCCAGGTCACATACCTCCCCTCCAATCAGAAGAGCAAACGTCCTAAGCACTTCCTCGAACTGAAGAGCTTTAAGGACAACTATAACACACTGGAGAGTACTCTGTAATGGAGCTACACAGAAGCCAGCTGTGTGGCATTTGGGATCTCTGGCTCAGAGGCCCAGACTTTATTGGCCAGAGCTTCTGTGAGTCCAGAGTTCTCACAGAGCTGGGTCGGAGAGGTCATTTCCAGCCCTTTCTTATGTTGGCTAAGATCCTCTATCTCCAAGGAGCACTTTTTCTGGATTTAAATTCAAATGTCATTCTTAATGTTTGTCAGAGCTTCCTTGAAAATCTTCCTTTGTTTTTGGCTGTAATTCACCTACCCTGTTCAATGCTGTTTTGTCCCAAAGGTGTAAATTGAGGTGAGATGTCTTCTAAATCTACCCCATTGCACTCAAAATATTTGGGTTTAGAGATCTCAGATTTGATTAGTGGAAAAGTCAGGTAAGGACCTCATAAGGAAAAAGGAATGAATAAGCCGGTAGAATGTCCCCTGGAATTTTGGTGCTCATTTAAACCAGTATTGATATGAGAACATGACTTTCCTGAAGTGGGAGGATGTGTCCCCACCTTCACCCAGTACCATTATGACAAGTCAGAATGAGTGTTCGGGTACTTGGCATAACCTCTGCTGAGATAGTGAGACACAGCAAGAAGTAGTTTCCTCTGATGTCAGTGTTTTAGTCTCAATTTACAATTTATTTAATAAAGTTAATTAAGAAAATGAATCATTTCTTCAGAGTGGTCTTTGAACAGCAGGCTTTTGATTTGTGTCTACATTTGCCTTACAGGACATAGGGCGTAAAGCTTTGCTGCCAGAAACTGGTTGGACTGTGTGTCTGAATCTAGACTACAGATACTCTGAAATCCTTACAGAAGAAATCCTGAAATAAGGACTTGTGTGGTTCACACTTACAGCCTGGTCTTGTCACTAACAGAAAGCTAAAGAACCAGAATTTTCTTCCGGTACTAGGGCAGCAAGCCCAAGTAACCAGTCAACTCAGAACCCAGGGTCATTATTGGATTCCTAAATGTTGCTATGACTACTGAAACCTTGGTGACCAAACTAAACAGAAAGGAGAGCCTTCTCAGTGTCCTCAGGCTTAGCAAGCATTTCTGTAGATATGTCCTTTGGAAAAATGACAAAAGTGGAAGAGGTATGCAGAGTTGGAAGGAGGGTTGGAAGTTGGTGGAGGAGTTTCCCCTGATAAGATTTTACCCAGAGTACAGCTTTCCTGTGAAAGGCCCTTGGAAGGGTGCGGGAGAGTTAGCAGAAATGGGCAGCTACTGCTAGAGTAGATAGCAGTTCACATCTGTCTCCTCTAACCCCTGTATTTTCTCCTGTCTGTTCTGAGAAATGTAGCATTTTCCTGCTTCCCTTGGGAAACTGCTTCATTCCTCAGAAGTGGGCACTGCTGGTAATTCTAGTAATCAAGGAGGTCAACAGAACTCCCTTCTCTTGCAGAATTTACAAAGAGCCATGGCACTTAAGAAGATAGTCACGAGGTAACCTGTGTTTCCATCTCCTCCCATCAATTTGTGTTTTCTACTCTCTGCCTGAGCCACTGCCCAAATCTGCTCTCCTTGGGGACTTCTTGAGAAGGACAACATGGAGCAGCCTTGTTCTTGAAGCAAGCAGAGATGGGCCTGTTATCACCTAGTTGATCACCTAGTTGATGAGCTTTGTTTTATTTTGCTCCTGCTCCTATTCTCTGCGGGAGAAGCCTTTGTTGTTTTACGGGGTTTTGTTGTTGTTGTTTTTATTTTTTTGAATGTTCATGTGTTTCTTGCCCGGTTTTGTAATAACTTTATAACAGGTATTTCAACATTTGGTGAACAAGTGACAGAATACCCAAAAGACTGAAGTGTGTATCACCCCTGCTAAGATTTTTATTTCAGTTGCATTGGGGTATTGATTGCAGGGCTTTGTGCATGGAAACTTCCACCAGCAGCTAGCTATACCTCCAAATCTAAGCTTTAAAAAAAAAAAAAAAAAAAAAAAAAAAGCTGGCAGAAGCAGGGCATACCTGCTCATACCTATAATCTCAGTACTTCGATAAACATGAGTCTGAGGCCAGCCTAAGCTGTGTTGTGATTAATGCACTCTCAAAACAACTCCAAAGGGAGACCCAGTGTAATGGCATATGCATTTGATTTCAACACTAGAGGGCAGAGGCAGGTGGGTTTCTTGAGTTTGAGCTCAAGACTAGTCTACATAATTCTAGAAAATCCATACTATATAATGAGAAACTTTTTAAACGGAGTTGAGGAACAACAGATAGCTCACTGAAAGATTGCTTGCCTAGCATACGTAGCCTTTTCTTTCCCAGCATTCAGGAGATACAGGAGAACATCAGAGGTTCAGGGTTAGCTACATAAGTGAGTTGGAGCCCTTCTGGGCTACATGAAAAAAGATAGGGGATGGGGGTTCCATGCTGGTTGAGATGGTTCAGAGGTTGATAACACTTCTCTTGCAGAGGTCTGAGTTCAATCCCCAGTAACCACATGGTGGCTCACATCCATCTATAAAGGGGTCTGATACCACCTGGCATGTAGGTGTACATGCAGATAGTACTTCTATTAAATTAATTTAAAAGTTGGGGGTGGCAGACAGAGTCCAGGACAGCCAAGGCTACCCTGTCTTGGGGAAAAAAAAAAAAATATATATATATATATATATATATTTTTTTTTTTTTTTTTTTTTAAATTTTGGCTTGGCAGTGGTGGTGCACGCCGTTAATCCCTGCACTCAGAATGCAGAGCCAGGCAGGTCAACAAAGTGAGTTCCATAACAGCTAGGTCTATACACAGAAATGCTGTCTCAAAAAATGCTGTCTCAGAGCAGCGAGCTGAGACCCAGACCTAGAGGCACACCTTTAAGCTTGCTTTTCTGTGTACTGTAACAGCTGACAGCTCTGTCCATTTGTGACGACGATTCAGTGGCTGCACTCACACACTATGAATCCGCTCTCCTTACCCATTTAAGGACATTGTGATCTTTTGACGGTGGCAGGGGTTCTGGTCACAAAGCAACCATATTCATAAAGGTCTCTACTGACTCACGCATTTCATTCCCACCCTACACCTGGGACAGGTGGCAGAATTTACAGAATCATTGTATGTGGCAGATGACATTGAGTGAACGGAGAAACACATATGCTACCCTAAGGCTGCAAAATGATGTGGAACAGGAGTTAGCACTGTCCAACAAACAGCTACTGATGGTGAGTTGTAGGAGGCAGCCTGGAGGCTTCCCCCTGCCCTGTGCCATGTTTCTGCTGGCTGGGACATAGAGAGCCTTTCCTTTGGGACGTACCCATTTTGTCTACCTCAGATTTCTTCATGCTTTTATCAGAACATTAACATCAAATGTCAAAGCTCTTTCAGTAAGTGATTTATTTAAATTTTTGCATTGTTTGCAGATGGCACTTTGTTTAGTTTTGGGTTTCATGAAGCTTTGTTTTCTTAGGTTCTTTGAGTTGGGTTTGGTTACTGAAACTTGCTAAGTAGACCAGGCTGGCCTCCCTGAATACAGAGCTTTACCTTCCTCTTACTCCTGCATGCTGGGATTAAAATACACCACCAAACCTAGCCAAGGGCTTAATTTTATCTATTTTTTAAATTATTTTTGGTCTGGAGAGATGGCTCAGTGGTTAACCGCAGTGTCTGCTCTTGCAGAGGTCCTGAGTTCAGTTTCCAGCAACCACGTGGTGACTTATAACAATCAATAAAAGGGTGTGGTGCCATCTTCTGGCTTTCAGGGGTACAGTCAGAGCACTGTACACATAAATGTTTTTTAAATTATTTTATGTGCATTGCTTTTTGTCTGCATATGTCTGTGTGTGGGTGTCATATCCCTTGGAACAGGAGTTACAGACAGTTGTAAGCTACCATGTGTGTGCTGGGAATTGAACCCACATTCTCTGCCAATGCTCTTAACTGCTGAGCCATCTTTTCAGCCCATTATGTATTTTGGTTGGTTGGTTGGTTGGTTGGTTGGTTGGCTGTCTGTTTCAAGACAGGGTTTCTCTGTGTAGCCTTGGTTGTCTTAAACTTGCTTTGTAGATGAGGCTGGCCTTGAATTCACAGAGATCTGCCTGCCCCTCTCTGCCTTCCCGAGGGCTGGGATTACAGGTGAGCACCACCTTGCCCAGCTTTATGTATTTTTTTAAGACAAGGTCTTGCTCTGCATCCCAGGGTGGCCTGGAACTCATAAACATCCTGTCTCAGCCTCCCATATGCTGGAATTATAAGTATGTTCTACCATCCAGCAGCAGGTGACGCATTTCCAATCCCCAGTGCATCAAAGTCTTTGCTTAGTCAGTGACACCCTAAGCTTCCCCCTGGGTGACAATTGCAATGTCACCTCTTAGTTTCTTGAGTACTAGCAGATTTTTCTAGTTCCTGGTACATTTTCAGCAATGTACCAAGGGAAATTAGATTCACTCTCTCTTTTATGACCCCCTTTTATGTCCCAGCAAAGTCCAGGGACGGGGAAGTCAGCACTGCACATTTTACTGCCTTCCCTACCAGGTCCGTCAAGCTGCCTTAAACCAGCTGTTTGAAAAGGAACATCAACAGTACCAGCAGGAACTCAATCAGATGGGCAAAGCTTTTTATGAGGAAAGATTCTGACAGCCGCCAAGACACCACTCTTCCATCTCATCATGCCTGCCAACCCAGCCTTCAATCTCTACCTTGAGCTTCCCAAAACATACCTGATGCTGGGACTTAAAACTTTTTCATTATCTCTGAGCTCAAATGTTGCCTCTGGAAGCAAGAGTGACACCTTGTGGTCAGTGTGCGATATGCACTGCTGTTAGGGGAAAGGATGCACAATGTCTGGTTTAAAACTCTGATTTGGTTTAACAAATAAAGTGAGCTCTTAAAGGTTCAGATATAGGCCATGGGATTTATTCTTGGCCTTGAGTCTTGATTTATTCTTGGCTGCCATAATTTTGCTTCCTAGATTGTGGGCACTACCTCATATCTCAGTTTCACTGGTCTTTTCTCAGTCCGTGGGCAAATAGTTTTGAACATGGCTATTAACCTGTAGATAACTATGGTGCATGTGTGTCAGAAGGCCTGAATTTTATGTATGAAAATCATCTCATTTTTGTGAAACCGCAGATTGCCCTGAATTTCTGCTTTTCCCACTCTATAAAATTGAGAGGATTCCAAACTCTTAACACCCCCCCCCCCCCCCCACGACCCAGGGCATTGGATGTGCAATTTAGCAGGTGTTAAGTATCAAGTGGTGGCCTTGGGCTAGAAAACACATGTCCATTCTCAAGATACCTGACACTGCAAATCCTGGAAAGTATCAACTGAACATATGCACCTGTAGTTCACAAGAAAATAGATGACATTCAGAGAGACCGCTCATTTCACAGCTGCTGTGAGAGCATGCCCTCTGACAGAACGTCTGATCTCTAAGTTTTCATCAGTACAGTCACTGGTCGCTCATCTGTGCCAGTGGCTCTTTTCCCTCCCTCCGCTTCTTGTGGCTGTCTCCACTGCCAAGCTCAGACTCTCATTCTTTCTCCTTCCAGTCTATCTGTAGCCTTTGTCTCATCAAAGTCAATTTTGGGCCTTTCCCAGATCTTGCTTGAGGTGTAATTGATAAGGACACGGCAACATCTACATAGTTTAAAGCTGTTGGCCTTTTGCTGGGCCAGTCTCAGCCAGCTGCTGACTAGCTGCTGACTTAACCTGACTTCTCCAGCAC